GTAGTAGTAGTAGTAGTAGTAGTAGTAGTAGTAGTAGTAGTAGTAGTAGTAGTAGTAGTAGTAGTAGTAGTAGTAGTAGTAGTAGTAGTAGTAATATAATAAATCAATATTAGTAGTACTAAGCTGGAACTGGAACTGGAACTGGAGCTGTATCTACTAGAGATATATCTACTACTACAACTAGAGATATACTATCTACTAGAGATATATGAGCTGGAGCTGGAGCTGGAGCTGGAGCCGGAGCTGGAGCTGGAGCTGTATCTACTAGAGATATATCTACTAGAGACATATCTACTGGTGGAGACATATCTACTACTAGAGATATATCTACTAAAGGTACAACTATGTGAAAAATAGAATTTGCTTGAGAAAATGAAGTGGTAGTATCAAACCAGTAGTATATTTAGTAGTACTGAAAGTGTAACAACTACTAGTAATACTTTTTCTGGTACTACTTCTGTTTTTCACAAAGTAGTACTGCTACTAGTAGGATCTAGATCTAGATCTAGATCTAGATGTTTGTGGTTGAGCTGGAGCTGGGGTTGGAGCATACTAGTAAATATGAATAGTATAGAAGTACATATAATTATAGAGCTATTAGCTAAAGGTACAACTACTATGTGAAAAATAGAATTTGCTTTAGTAGAAAATGAAGTGTTAGTATCTAACCAGTAGTATATTTAGTATTGAAAGTGCTACTACAACTACCAGTATTAATTTTTCTGGTACTTCTTCTGTTTTTCAAATAGTAGTAGTACTACTACTAGGATCTAGATCTAGATGTAGACTGTAGTGCTACAGCTAGCAGTACAGCTAGCAGTAAAGCTAGTAGCACTACAGCTTGCACTACTACTTGCACTATGTGAAAAATAGAATTAGCTTGAGAAAATGATATAGTAGTAGTTAACCAGTAGTAGATCTAGTACTGAAAGTACAGCAACTACTACTAGTATTACTATTTCTGGTACTACTTCTGTTTTTCACATAGTAGTAGTAGTACTACTACTACTAATATAATATTTCAATATTAGTAGTAAGCTGCAGCTGGAGCTGCAGCTGTATCTACTACTAGAGATAATAGCTCTACCAGCTCTAGTAGATGTAGCAGCTCTTTGGTCTTAGCTCCAGCAATAACCCTCACTATCAGTAGCTTTAGCTTTAGCTCTAGATCTAGCTTTGACTCTAACTCTAGCCCTAGCTTGAACTTTAGCTCCAGCCCTATCAGCTCTTGCACTAGTAGCTCTAGTTCTAGCTCTAGTAGGTCCAGTTATTAGTGTCAGTATCAGCCAATATCACTATCAGTACTACTACCACTACTATATGAAAAAAAGTATAATTAGTAATACTACAGTAGTACTATTACCATATGAAAAACAGAAATAGTAGCAGAAAATGTAAAACTAGCAGTTATTGTAATTTCAGTACTAGATCTACTACTGCTAAACTACTACTAGTAGTATTTCTTTTTCTCAAACTATTTCAATTTTGCACATAGTTGTACTACTACTATACTACTACTAATATGAAAAACAGAAGTAGTAGCAAAAAAAGTAATACTAGTAGTTGTTGTAATTTCAGTACTAGATCAACTTCTGCTAAACTACTAGTATTTCATTTTCTCAAACTATTTCAATTTTTCACACAGTTGTAGTAGTAATAGATATCAGCATCACTACTAGTATCAGCAATAGCAATGCGAGTGCGCGTGAAATGAATGCAAATATTGCAGCTTCAGCTTCATCGAACGCTCCGGATGCAAACACTGCAGCATCAGCTCCATCAAACGCTCCAGATGCATCGAATGCTCCGGATGCAATTATGGCAGCATCAGCTTCATCGAAGGATCCAGATGCATCGAACGCTCCGGATGCAACTACTGCAGCTCCATTGGAGGCTCCGAATATTGCAAATAAGACCGCGGCAGCTGGAAATAATGGGGCCTCATCGACTCGCCCGGCGCCTTCCACCGCACCTCCGGCCACACGGAAGGTCCGAATCGACTTGCGAGGAAACGCACGGAAGAAAGCTAAGCATCGCGTTCGCATGAAACGGCACGAGGCCCCATACCACCCCGACGTTGAAGGTAGGACGCTCGAAGAGGCCAAAGGACGTGCTGACGCCAGGCGGGAACGAGTATTGGCAGCTCCCCGAAGATCACACACGCCACGACGGGCTGCATCTCCATTCCCAGAACCAGAACTACGGCGTCTGGAGGCCCCCGTCACTGACCCAGCAGCGGACCTCCCAGGGTACAAACTCACTGCCGCGGATAAACAGCTGGACGAGGTTTATGGCGATCACATTCACGACAACCCCGGGACGCACCTGACCTCAGGCAAATCCGATGATGCCACCTGGCGCCGCCAATGGCTCAAAATCATGAATGTGAAACCGAGACGATACATGGTACCCCAGAACAGCGTGGGCAAAGAGTTTCTCCTGAAACTGACGAAGGAACTGCAAGGAGTACGACACCGAGAACACAACTCAGAACGCCCACTAGTTTTTGTCGCCCTGATGCTCCAGGAGGCGGACGGTGTAAAGAAGGCCAAGGACATCCGGAAACTGATCACCACCCGCCTTCAACACTGGACCGACGGCAAATTCGCACCCCTGGTGGACGATTTCATGGCGGAGGCCCGGCTCCGCGATGGACCCATTGCACAAAAGACCGACAAGGAAGCTTTTCGAGCCTTCAATGCAAAACTCACGTCAGGGAGAGTTAGAGCTGCTTGCCGAAATCTCACCAACAGAGATGGCGGCGGCGTCCTACACCCCACAGACAAGTGCACCAAGACCAGAAGCCCAGTCCTGGAGGTTCTGAAATCCAAACACCCACCTCTCAGGGATCCCACAGAGCTTGGATCTGAGGATGGTGTTTTTGAACCCTACCCCGTTCGGCACTTGTGGCCGGCAGGCGCCCAGTTCTGTTTCAACTGCTATCGGCACTCTGCTCAACTGATTCTCAGGGGCCAATCATCACTGGATCGTAGCACCACTCTACTCTCTAGAGAAGGTGTTACTCAGGGCGATCCTCTCTTGATGATTTTATATGGCCTGGCTCTGGTCCCACTCTCCAAAACACTCCGAACTCAGTTCCCACAGGTGGTGCTCCCCTTCTATGCTGACGATGCCGGGTCTCCGAAATTGCAGGCACCATGCGGGTTCTCCAGGACTTAGGCCCTGCACGAGGCTATTTTCCTGAGCCTTCTAAAAGTATTTTTGTGGGAATGCCAGGGCATATCCAGAAATCACAAGAGGTGCTACAGGACTTCAACTTTGACTTTCGCGATGGAGCACGCTACATAGGAGGTTTTGTCGGCACCACAGAAGCCCGAGAGGCGTGGCTCCAACCCCAGATTGACCAGTGGGTCCACAGTATCAAACTGTTTGCTGGAGCTGCACGGCGCTATCCTCAGGCTGCATTCGCAGGCCTGACCAGATCCCTCCAAGTGGAATGGACGTACCTCCAACGGGTAGTCCCGGATGTGGACAAGGCGTTTGCACCAGTGGAAAAGGCATTGGTGGAGGATTTTCTACCTGCCCTTCTTGGTGACTCCATCAAGACTACCTTCGCACTCCGTGATTTACTGGCATTTCCAGTGCAATTTGCTGGGCTTGGAGTGCCGGACCCCAGCAAAGATGCCAAGGCTCACTTTGACATGTCACTGGGTGTAACAGCAGATCTGATTTCCTCCCTTCAGAATTCTGAAACACTCGATGCCCAGACCTACAGCACCAACGTGAAGAGCAACCTGAGAGCCGCGAGGGAGGCCCATCAGGCTGCCCTGCAGATCTCACTGAATCAACTCAGTAAGACAAAATCACCAATGGCCCAGCGACGCATCTCCAGGGGCCAATCGGCAGGGGCCTGGTTGACAGCCACACCCCATGTTCTCAATGGGACACTTTTGACTGCAGAAGAATTCCGTGATAATCTCCGCCTCCGATTTGGCCTCACACCAAAACACATGCCAGCGCGATGTGATGGGTGCTGTGCTAAATTTACTGTGGAACATACCATGTCCTGCCAAAAGGGAGGATTCCTCATTGTACACCGCCACAATGATATTGCAGGCGAGTGGCACCAACTGTTTGCGGAGGCTTTCACTCCGAGCAGTGTGACTGATGAACCAAGAATACCAAACTATCAGTCAACTGCTCAGAAGAAACAGAAGCAGAAGCAGCCGAAGACGACGAGCCAGCGAAACACCCCACCCCCAGACCAAGACCTCAGAGGAGATCTATCCGAGTACCAATTCTGGAAGAGAGGTTTGGCCACAGTGTTTGATGTCAGAATCACTGACACTGATGCAGAGTCCTACCAGAAGACTGCACCTTGGAAACTCCTCCAGGAGCAAGAGAGAGATAAGAAGAAGAAATACTTGGATCTCTGCCACGAGGCCCACAGACACTTCACTCCTCTGGTCTACTCCATTGATGGCATGGAAGGCAAGGAAGCAATTGCAGCCCGCAAACAGCTTGGAGCCAAACTTGCTGCCAAATGGGGCAGA